CTATCCTATCCTATCCTATCCTATCCTATCCTATCCTATCCTATCCTATCCTATCCTATCCTATCCTATCCTTTCCTATCAATTCTCAATCTGAAACAGTAAGAGCTGAGTTTAGTCAGGATGTAGCTCAAGAGTATCAGCGTATAGGATGTGATAGACATAAAATTTCTACCCTGAATGCTCACATCAGCAGCCTATTCACAATAGTTTTTCATTATCCCACCATAGTTTGCTATTATGGGTATATGACACAATTAATGAGTAACTTACTCTCTCTTGGAAAACACTCAGGAATGTTTTATCTAACCCTTAAATACATGCTCATGTTGTACAAGAAATTCTCTTTCCAATATCAGATATTGTTTCTTTAAGAAATGCTATGATTTTGATGTAAATTCATGTTGCTACATTGAGCCATAGAAACAACAACACTTCTGAGCTTTCTAAATCAGGGCCAGAGCCTCTTCTTGCTTGTAGTGTGTAAATAAACAGAATACCCTTGCCATACAGATATCACAATTCCTCAAATTCTGAAGGGAAAAAAAGAAAAGAAAAGAAAAGAAAAGAAAAGAAAAGAAAAGAAAAGAAAAGAAAAGAAAAGAAAAGAAAAGAAAAGAAAAGAGCACTCATCACTTTTTATGAAGGCTTTCTTTGTGGATTTCAATCTTATTTCTTCTCTACTAAATGCTTCTCCCATCCCTTTCTGTATATAGGTTTCCTTTGAGCATTTGCAATAGCACACTGGGAAGATTTGCTTATATAACTGTCTAGGTTTGCATGTACAGAAAAATATCCTTTCAGCAGTGCAATGGGAATGATGATTCTATGTGGAACCATATGCTGAAAACCATGTTCAGTACATGCTGTAACATAGAAATCAGCTTTGTGTTGTGATGCTAGTTAGAAATGTTTCAATTACATGTAGTTTTATTTGCTACTGTAATATTTCATGGTCCTTTTACAACTTTTTAAAGAAATATTTGAATTCTACAGATCAGTCATTACTGGAATTACAGCATTAAAATAATTAGCTTTTCATTTATGAATTCCATTGCTGTAAAACTTCACTAACCCAACACCAGAGGGCAACATTGGAAACAAATGTTGATATAAATCCAAAGAGCAGTTGCTTTTAGGATACTGTGGCTACAACATACGTTTTCAACAGGAAGCCAAATTTTCGCACTGGCTAAGTAAGTAAAGGAGATCAATAATTTTAGAAGAAATCATTTAGATCACAAGTTTTTGTTTGTTTGTTTTTGTAATTAACAAGTCTACAGGAGCTTTAAGATTAGCATGAGTCTTAAGAGAAACAAAATGTTTTGTATGCAAAATCTACTGTGAAATGATAACAGTTGGAAAATTGCAGCTAGATCCTGAAAAGGAAAGTAACTCTGTTATCTGAAGGTGCCAAGCTCATTCCTGTACTATATATACTACCAAAGGGTCTAAATGTCATATGGGCCTATTATAATACACAAATGCAGAGGGCATAAACAGTATTAAACTATTAAGCATTTAATAGAAAATGATTGCTAATATGATATGAAATAAGCTCTGGAAGTCCATATGCAGCAAGAGATAAATATATATGCTATTTGTAGCAAGAGCTATACTATTTGTAGCCCCATCCTTGCATGCATTCAAGGCCAGGCTGGATGTGGCTCCAGGCAACCTGGTCTGGTGGTTGGCAACCCTGCACGTAGCCGGGGGATTGAAACTGGATGATCATTGTGGTCCTTTTCAACCCAGGCCATTCTATGATTCTATGATTTGCAGCAAATGCCCCGTTTCCCCAGCAGTGCAGCTGACAGCAGGAAGGCCCGGTCCTTTCCCCCCAACTCGGCCTCAGCCACGCTCGCCCAGCGGCGCCTCGAGGCCCCGTCCAGTGGCTGCCGGGCGCTGTCCGCGGTGCTGAAGAGAACGGAGAGGGTGGGACGCGGCGCTGACCGAGGTGCTGAAAGGCGCTGAGGTGCCGCTCGCCGCCGCCGCCTTGGGGCGCGACCTGCGTACGTGGGCGGGCGACAGCAGAGCGGAGCGGACCGGCGCTCCAAGAGCCCTCCGACCGCTTCAGCTCCGGGGCGCTGGGAGCTTCGGGCGCGCTGCTCACTGCCTACCGGGGCTAATCGCACCCCTCCCCCTCCGTTCTACAGCCGGGGAAACCTCCGGCACCAAACCACGATTCCTTTGCAACGCTCCCGCGGGGGGCATTCCACCCCCTCCCAGCCGGCTATGGCACACTCCGAGCCCGCCACCGCTGAAGCTTACGGGGCCGAGAAGACTTTCTGATCGTGCCTCGCAGCTCCGCGCTGCCGGGAAAGCCGGGGGCTGCCTGCAGCGCTCAGCCTCCCTCTCCCTGCCGCACACAGGCGCGCTCCCTCGCCCTCTCCCCCCTCCTCCCTCCCCCCCAGGCTCTGCACGCCGTCTCTCCCCCTCTCAAACACGCGCGCACGCTTTCTCTCACTCTCCCTTTACTCGGAGCTGCACTGATAGCGATTTAATGACGGGAAAAAGTTAAGGGATTAAACCAATATGAACCATCGTTGCTCGTAGCAGTGCCCTATCCAGAGCAGAGCAGAATCCAGCGAGCATCACTGCAGGAATGGAGTCGGTAAAACAAAGGATTTTGACCCCTGGCAAGGAGGGATTGAAAAATTTTGCCGGAAAATCTCTTGGTCAACTCTACAGGTAAGACTAAAATATATTAGAGAACTCTAGTTCTTAGAAACAATTGAAAGCTTTTGTTAATCGTGAGCTGCTGGTCGAGGTGGAATAGGTGTGCTCTGGGGAGCTTAGTGGTGGAGAGGTTGGGAGCTGTTTATATATCACCGGTGTAATCTGGATACTGGAAACTATTGCTGAAGCTTCTCAATATGGCACCCTTCTAACTTCTCTATCTGATTCGTGGATGCTGCCAGTGAATATGTAGCCAAAGATTACCCCATCTTTCTCACACAAAAACAGGATCCCATCTAGAAACCATACTCAGCAGAGAGCGGCTCCCCTTGTCTTTGCTTTTTATTAATTCTGAAACGTGCTCACAAGACCTTTATCACTGCTTTCACCAATAATTAAATAATAGTAATAATTTAGTAATAATAATCTTTCTGAGATTTGATTAGTCTTAGCCCTTGTGTAATCCACCGTCAGAGGAAGATAAACAAGGATATGTATAAATAATTGATGTCCAAATGATTTTTTTTTTTTTTTTAATTCTGAGGCTGAAATGTATGGAGGGATGTGTTTAATTATTTATCCGTCTGCACTGAGAAGCATCCACTTGTCTTATAAGTGATATACGACTGTAACTGCTAAATTCACAGGCATGCCTGCATGTTCCTGTGTGTACAAATTTCCACCATCTTCATGATCTGTATAGACAGAAAACAGACACAAATCCACGCATATTTAAAAGGGTATGTACTAAAGTTGACACATCGTGCCCCATCCAAGCTAGTGACTTCAGTGACCTCTAGGACGTTTGAGTATAGCCTGTGAAATTCCAATGTATTTTGGATCTTCTCGTCTGCCAACACTTATCCCAGCGTTGTTTCGAATTGTGGATTAAAGCTAACTGCGGATTTATCTGTCTACTGTAGGTCATGTAGAAGTCTTTTTTTCCGTGCCTATGCGGCAGTATTGGGCACAAGCACAAGGTTCTTCCACAGCATGAATCACAACTTCTGCTGCCATTTTAAGGGAACTGTTACTGAAGTGATAAGACAAAAGTGAAATTTTCATTTTAGTGGAAAGAGTACAGCTTTGAAAAGCAAAAAAGCAAAACTGAAGCCAACAGAGACGTAGTAAATATCCTGCATTTTATCATTATATCATCTTAAATTGTGAGGAAAAATAAAAAGGACTAATTGATAATCCGGAGTAACTGCTTCAAAATGTCCTTAAGGAAATAAACTTCCTATTTTTCCCCTAAGGGATTCCACAAAACATAAATGAAACAACGGTCTCTACTGCTTTTTGTATTATCATACAGTGAGCAACGGAGAAAGCATTTGTATTTTCCAGTAAAACTCCGTTTGAACTCTCCATTAATTAATAAATCATCCAGTTACCTCTTTAATTTTTTTTTTCTGCTTTGTTTTGTTTTGTGTTTTTTTGGTTTTTTTTTTTTTTTTTCTTCTTCTTTTTTTTTCTCCTAGGCATAGGATTGACCTATTTTATTTCCGATTCTAGGAATTCAAATACTTTTCACCTCCCTTATATGTTAACGTCTTCCGGAAGATATTCCCGTTTAATGGGAAGACATTCGTGCATCTTTTTATTCGCACAAACGAATTTTTAACATAAAAACAGGGGATTTTCTTGTATTCGCAATTTAAGATAATAAGAAACGATGCAGTATTAAAGCACGGAAATAATTCTCCCGGCAAATAAAAATCGTTAGGATTTCAACCGAGTAACCACGGGATAAAGTCTCCCATTTGCTTCAAAGCACAGGCAACAATCTGAGCCTAATTCTGCTAATTGTTAGCGCCCTATTAGCCGGATGAGTTAACCTCAAAGAGCAGCTCCTCCGAAGAGAATGTCTGAGGTGAGAAGACACTCCTAAGGCGGGGGTTAGGGCAGTGGCAGGAGAGAGCCCAACGTCGGGAAATGGAGCACTCGCTCCTCGGTAAGAACGGAGCTAGGATGAAAGCCGTTAATATTTCTGTCTTTTCAATATCTCGCTTGCTGCAAAAGAAGATTCAGAGATTCATCATGGAGCATCAGCTTGATACATCCGATATCTTTTATTATGCACTCGGTATTTTTAAAGATTCACACCAAAGAAGAGATAGAATTTGCTAAGTAATCTTTTGCTGGGTTGGGATATTTTTTTTATTTTTTTATTTTTTGAGGCATGAGGGGTGGGTAGGGGGAATTCATCCTTTTTTTTCTTTTTTTTTTTTTTTTAAGGGGAGAGGGAGGGGCATGATTCGGTATTTTTTACTGTTGATTCGACATAGCTTCAAATGGCCAGCACCCTCCAGATTCCTGCACATTGATTTCTCGGTCTGATAGGATTCCCGTGTAAAACCAAGGAAGTGCGAACGGTGAGATCGAGCTCAGAGCTGAGTTAGGAAAGAAACCTAACCCTAGCTGAGTAGATGCGATCTTTACAAAGGCTTCCCCAAAGTCGTCAGTTCTCTAAAGACAGTCATTTATTTATTTATTTCCCACTGCATGTGCCAGCCATTTTGCAAATCGAAAATAAGTAGCAATACCGCCGCCCCACCCTTTCTGGTACTCTTTCTATTGTTCCCAATCCAGAAGCAAAATGCACGCAGAGCTCGTTCCCCCTTGGTGTTTCTATACGGCAGAGGGAGAATAAAACCTTCTCCAGAACACCGTTCCAGTTTCCGTGCTCAACCTCTTGGGCTGCCCAACATGGCGCCTCCGCAGTGGCTACAGATGATGTCTTCTTAATGTGTCCTACATATTTACGCAGAAGTCTTTAATGATAGATGAGCAATTCTCAGCTAAAGCTCCTCCCTGGGTTTCTGCAGCGGGCTGTCGCGGGGCGGAAGGGAGCTGGGCATGACTAATCGTGACTCCCACAGGTCACAGCTGAAGAACAAGTGAAGGTGAACGGAAAACAAGGAGTAAACATCCAAAGCAAGCCGAAGGGGCGGGGGGGGCTGTGAACTTAAGCCTTCAGCTACCCGAGGTGGCTGCGCATTCAGGCAGTGGGGAGGCAGGGCTTGACTTTCCCTTCTTGTGTCGGTCAGAGTCCTAGAGAAGAGGCAGAAGCCCGGGGACACCATCGAATTGACGGAAGATGGGAAGCCCATGGAAATGCCCGAGAAGAAAGCCCCGCTTTGCGACTGTACCTGCTTCGGGCTGCCCCGGAGGTACATCATTGCCATCATGAGTGGACTGGGATTCTGCATTTCCTTCGGGATCCGATGTAACTTGGGAGTGGCCATCGTGGACATGGTCAATAACAGCACCATACACCGAGGAGGAAAAATTATTAAAGAGGTGGGAATCCTTCCCTCGTAACTCTCATGCCCTCTCGGTGCACTTCCCAGCTTCAGACCAGGCACCTCAGCGCAGGCAGCCGGGCACCGCTGCAAGGATGCTCCCGTGCCGCCCCTCGGCTCTGCCCGCCTCCCGCCGCCCTTGGTAGCCCGAAACCTTCGTTGGGGAAAGATAAATCATTTCTGCCAATTATTTCTATTTTTCAATTGTGGTTCCCAGCGCAAAGCCGTTTGGGGCTAAAGCGAGCGGGCAGATACGTTTTCCTTTTGCACATCACGTAGGAAAACGCAGCTATCTCGTGAAATAAATATAGGGAAAGGAACACACCGAATAAACCGACTGTAAAAGGGTGAAACGTAAACGGGGAGGTTATGCAGGAATGTTTGATAAAGCAGGATGAAAGAATTTGCATTGAAAAGGCGTTAAATGCCGTGTCAAATCTGCTTAGAGCGTAGCGGGCGAGAGGCTGTGTGACACCTAGACGAGGAACGGGACAGCGAGCCCACGGTCATCCCTGCCGGGGGGGTCTGCACGATTCTGCTGCTCTTCCATCCGGGGGGTGGACAGTGTGGGTGCGGTGGGGATCCAGTCGGAAGGGAAGGCAGCAGGAGCTCCTTGTCCCGGGTGCCATCGCTGGCCTCGACCGGCACGGTGAAGCTTTTTACGGGAACTTTCTTTAATCTAGCACGATTACAGCTTTCCTCTACTCTTTCTTTCTTTCTCTCCCCGGTTCCTTGGCTCTGGAAGAAAGCGAAGTTTAACTGGGATCCTGAGACGGTTGGCATGATCCACGGCTCGTTTTTCTGGGGCTACATTATCACCCAGATCCCCGGAGGGTATATCTCGTCCCGACTGGCAGCCAACAGGTAACGACGACCTAAATCTCCTCAGTTTCATGCACGGGGGCGGACAAAGGGGCGGCTCCTGGCCCGGAGCTCGGCTCCGCTCTCCCCGCCCGGGGCGGCCCCGAAAAAACCTCCGCCCGGCCGGGATGTAGGAGCTCTAAAGAAGGAAAGTAGGAAACCAGGAGAAGTGGCTGTTTCCACCCTCCCTCCCAAACTGCTCGCTGGTTTCGCGAGGGATCTCGGCGTTTTTTTTTCTTTTCTCGTTATTTTCTCGTTCAAATTAGCTCGGGGAGGTTGTGGTAGCGCTGTTCTAAAGAGCCGCATTCAGAGGCAAGTTCAAAGATTCATTGTTTTCTCAAAGCCTGAGAGATCATTATTTTCTTCCCCGAAAGAATTTTTGTTTTTTTTTTCTCCTGTGAAAAAAGAAAACCATCGGCAGGAATTTTCCATTAACGCGAACGAACGTAGAATGGTCGAAAACACGTTTCCATGAGACTTGCACAATGAAAAGAAAGTGCAGATGGTGCGGGGACTTAAGGACTGGTTTCTATGGTGTCTGGCCATTTTTCAAGCACCCAGGGTGCGATTCTACCTGTTAATTAGATCCGCTGAGTATTCAAGACACATGGCTTTCACATCCATTCTTAATGCCCCAGGCTCATCGGTAGACGACACAGCAAAGGTCCTAGTGCCAGTCTTCAAAACCATAACAAACTAAGTGTAAATGGATACTAAAATCAGCAGTATATACCTTTATCTCTTCTCAGAAGTGTGCAACATCAAAGGTAGGCATAGGCTGATGGAGACACTTTGCTTGGGAAGAAAGCTGGCCTGTATTTGTTTGAGAAAGAGGGGAGCTATGGCAAAAATACTCTCTCCATGGTGAATGCCTTTTAGACAGATACCTACATTACAGATCCTTTGCAACTGAGATAACCATCCATTGATAAACAAACCCAGAATGCAATGTATGTATTGAAGTGGGATATGCATTGTCTGTGAGTTTACAGGTGCCATCTTTTTGTTAATAGCTCAGAAATCTAAAGAGGCTATTTTGAATAGCAATCAACAGCTGTTGAAGCTGTTCCTTCTTCGAGCTTTTTTGGCATCTTTGCAGAGCCTAGCTTCTCAGGATCAATGGAAGTCTTACCTGAGTTAAGACTGACGAATCTGACTCAGAGAAACAAAAGCCTGTCCTTGTTTGCCCTAGTAATGTCAGTAATTAGAATCAATACAGATTTAATGTGGGGCAGCTACAAAGATTTACAAGACAAAAGCACGGAGTCCCAAGAAATCTCAGTAGTTTGTTTACACGTTCTACCTGACCTTGGGCAATCAAGCTTTCTTCCTCTATATGGATATTTACACTTACATCAGTAAAGGTAGGCCAGTTCTAATTGCTAACCTGGACATATTTTAACCCAATTTTTCATAGATTCGTGATCTGTTATTAGCATCATGGAAAGCTTCTGAAACAGCAACGAGGGAAATGACCAGATAAACCACAGATTAAAGGAACTAGCTGCTAGTAATTACAAACGGTAAAATATAGGTGGTGTCTGTGACTTTTATTTAGCTTGCAGATAAAAAATGGCTTAGAACAGAGACTTGGATTGTTAGATGTAGTGGCTGAAACAACAACACATCAAGGAGTCCAAACCCTGCTACAGATTTTGATATCTGTAGATATTCAGCTTGAAATGAAGGGGATTGCTGTAGGGTCACATGACACTCAAAATAAGGTGCAAAGCTTGGTGTCTACACCTTTTGCAAGAAACCCCACATCAGAAGAAGTCAGGAAAGTACCATTAGAAGCTATATCACATCATAAGCTGTAAAGTTCAAGGCTCCTGCTGCACAGACATTCTGTTCTGCTTTGAACCATAGCTCTTACCATGCATAGGCCCCCAGTACTTCTGACACATCACATATAGCAATTTACAGACATACAGTGATTTACAGATTTTTAAGTAGTAAATGGAGTTTCTCAGAAATTTGCTGTAGATAGCTTTGGTCTCAATTAGCATTCATCACTGACAATTTTGTTATAGTCTTTTATATAGTTTGCTGTAGTAAAGCATTTAGGAAAATGCTTTATTTTAAGTATAAATTATAGAAGGTTTATGCTGCTGTAGAACCAATGTGATCAAATAAAACCACCTTGTAAAATTCCGGAGAGCACAGAGAAATACTTCTCCTGAGCACTTACTTTGCCAGTGGTCAGTGGTACTTAAAATCAGAGAATCAAAGTTGGAAAAGACCTCCAAGATCATCCAGATAAGCTGTACAGCAGCTACCAAAACTTCCTCACTAAATCACATCCATTAGCACAACATCTAAATGTTTCTTGAACACTTCTGCAGATGGTGACTCAAACACCTCTCTGGGCAGCCCATTCCAGTTCCTGACCACTCTTTTGGAGAATAAATTTTTCCTCATATCTAACCTGAATCTCCCCTGGCACAACTTGAGGCCATTCCTTCTAGTTCCATCACTAATTACATGAAAGAAGAGACTAAACAAACCCAGGTCAGTGAACCTGTCAACCTTTGTTTACTTCCATAGAAAGAAGGAACATTCAGCACATTCCAAAAGACATGGACTTGGGCTTCAGGTGCGCCCTCATTTGCAATAAGTGAAGCTTTAAACTCGTGACTCTTCAGTCATGTGTAGAAATAGAGGATTCCCTTTTGCTGCAAGGCTGGAGAACTCTTCTTGCAGAGGAGGACTGGAACAAAAATAATGTACAAACAGCCACAGTAGGCTGAAGGAACAAAGGAAGTGCAATGTGGAGGTCTGTTTGTAGGGTTTATTTCAGCAATATCTTTTCTCTAGGTCAATCAGCAATGAATCTTGCCATCAAGGAAGCATTACATAATGATAGCAGAGAGTACTGAGATATGCTCTGAGCTCTGAGAAAGTGTTTTGTCACAAAGCATCCAGCACAGTTTGTATTTAATTGAGGTTGTTTTTCACAGACTAATTTATGTACAGCCTTATTCTATAATTCTCTTCTCCCCATATTGCACTGCAATGAGAGTAGAATTGTTTTTGTAGAGATGTTTACATAAATATATTCATCAAGAACAAAACCAGCAATGATTCAGGGCTTCTGAGACTGTAGGGTCAAAAACAGATGAACAACTCCAAAGTAAGATAAATGCTTGTCAATTACAATGCATTCTGATTAGTAATATCAAAGTTTTGTCTCAAAAGAATGAATAAAAAGTGATAATATTTTTTGAGATTATTGGGGATTCGGTGCTGTGTTTTTCACTAAAGTCACAGTGAATTTTCAATTGTTGGAGTGGGGCTTCCGTGAGAAGAACCTGAGATATTTTTGCTTTGTTTATAGGTATTTTTCCCTGAAAAAGTGCAAGGAAACATGTAAACTCAACTCTTATGCACTAATACAATGTATCCAAGCTAGGTAATTAGCAGAGCTGTTACTCATAGTGCCAGTTAATGCCATTTAAGAGCACAAGTCCGATTTTAATGCTTTTAAACTACAGGTTTGCGTGTGAGCATGAGAATGGCTCTCTCCAGGGGGGCTATCATCATGCAATTACTATGTCATGAATAGAAACCATGAAACCCTCAATCTTCTAAACACACTAAGTCTTAATTTCTACCGAAGTCATTAAAATAACTTTGGCTGGGGTTAATCAGACTTTGCCTTTTCTTAACAAATTTTTTAAAAGGAATAATTCTCAGTAGCTGAAGACCTCTTATTAAAAGGAAGAAAAAAGAATCGGTGCTTTGGTAGTCTTCAAATTTCATTTGTGTATTTGATTTAAATGGAACATGATGGCCAAGATGTTTAAATGCTTTAAAACAATTCCAGGGATGTTCTGTCTCCAAGAATATTCTTTTCTCTGCCTGTATATTGTATAAGACACCAGGTTACCAGGATATTTGCCCAAGTCAAATGCAGTGTGATGGAGCCCCTTCTTGTGTTTTTCACAACCAAGTGAATGCCTGCAGTTAGGCTAGTCATACTCTACCAGTGTGACTAATATGAAGAGATTAATGTGCAATAACGTCCAAGGACATATCTACTGCTATCATAACGCTATGCAGTCCCTAAACAACACCTACTGCTACGTTCACATTTCATCAGCCATTTCAGGAACACTGATAAGCTCATTAGTAAAAAAAAAAATGGATCAGGAAACTGGTGATATATTAAGGATCACTTGGTAAAGATTTTGTTCAAAATAATACATGTCCATAATACACAAAATAATACACTCCATCAGGGAGTGAGAAAGCTCTGGAAAGCTGTCATGCTGAGTGAGATTTTAATCTATTCTGTGTGATCCTCTTGTAAGGAAGTCAGTGTAATCCTACGTGTTTTTCTGTCTTTGGAATGGTCAGTGTATTTAGGTCAATGGAAATTACTGTGGATTGTTGCAAGTAATTTGGGTAAGAGTATTAATATGAGTTTTTAAAAAAAAATCATAAATGGGTTACAGGAGAGTCACAGAAGTAGTTATAAAATAGAATATTGTGTCATAAAGTGAAATAATAGCAGGAACTATATATTCAGTGTGTCAGTATATAAAAAACAATAGTCGGAAATAATCTGATTATAAAACATGCAAATAGCTCTACTAAAAAAAACCACAAAAACATTGGATGTAAATGTGTGTTTTAGAAAGATGTAAAGATTGAAAGATATAACAAGAATCAGTAAGAAGCAGCCAGATAAATGGGGGTATAAAGAGCAACGTTGAAAGTAACCAGTCATATTTTCTGATATGCCTTTTAAAAACAATTTAAAGACATACTGAAAATCTGTAATTAAACCATTGTCCTCACAAAAGCCTTATTATGTTGTGGCAATCTTTCCTCACTGATTTACAAAGTAACAGGTTAAACACATACTGCTATTCAGGAATGATTCCCTGAAGTTAATGGCTCATTGTTAGATTACACCTGCTCAGGAATTCATTCCCAGGTGTGCAGTTACATATTTAGAATATAAACACATTTGACTTTAGATGCCAAATAGTGTTTCA